GGAGATCGGTTGATCAAATAGCAGGCTGTCCTTACAGCTTCACCCCAGAACTGCTTAGATAACTTTGCAGTCCTCAACATACACCTGACTTTCTCCATGATGGTTCGGTTCATTCTTTCAGCAACACCGTTATGTTGTGGAGTTCCAGGAACTGTCTTCTCATGACGTATGCCATGTTTTACACAATACTCTCTAAACTGGTGAGATGTGTACTCGCCGCCGTTGTCGCTACGAAGACACTTGAGAGGTTTCCCAGTTTCCCTCTCCACCATGGCATGGAACTCCTGGAATGTCTGAAACACCTGGTCTTTGGATTTCAACAAATACACCCACACCCTTCGTGAAGCATCATCAATATAAGTAACAAAATATTTATTTCTTCCAAGTGACTCGACTTCCATGGGACCACACACATCTGAATAAACAAGATCTAACAAGTTTCCTTTCTTTGTAGATGGAACAGAAAAACTAACTCTTCTTTGTTTTCCGAATAAACAATGCTCACAAGAGTTTAACGACGTACCTTTGGCAAAGGGAATATGAGACTTCTTTGCCAAAACTTGTAGGCCTTTCTCGCTCATGTGGCCTAGCCTCTTATGCCACAAGTCTAGAGATGAGTCTTCCACAGCATTCAACTCACCTTTCAAAACCTTGGCATTTGACCGGTACAACGTACAACAAAGTCGTGCTCTTGCTACCACCATTAAGCCTTTAGTAAGCTTCAATTTTCCTTCGCCAATATGGTGATAATATCCTTGTCGATCAAGGGTACCAATGGATATCAGATTGAGACGTATATCAGGAATATGTCTCACATCTTTCAACATCAATTGGCAGCCGAGATTAGTTCTTAGACATATATCACCAATTCCAAGAATTTTGGAATAGCTTTCATTCCCCATCTTCACTATGCCAAAGTCACCTTCTTTGTATGTACTGAAGAACTCCCGTTTGGACGTAGCATGGAAGGAAGCTCCATTGTCAAAGATCCATTCAATGTCTCTGTCAGAGTTGCCCATATGCAGACATTCACCAACAGACAATATTTCTGGTACATCACCACATATGACAGCAGTGGTATTGCCAGTATCATCTTTCTTCTGATTGTTTCCTTCCCTTTGCTCTCTCTTCCAAACTCGACAATTTTTTCTTCATATGGCCTTCTTTGCCACAATGGTGGCATGCACCCCTGAACCTTGACTTGGATCGGCTAGGACTCCTGCCATGACCTCTAGGTCCTCTACTCTTGCTTCTTCCGCGGTTCTCTGTGACAAATACTTGGCTGCTATCTGTGCCAGAAGTCTTTCTCCTTATTTCTTCATTGAGCATGCTATTTTTAACATTATCAAGGGTAAGAACACCATTAGAAGCAGAGTTACTTATACTCACCACAAAGGTCTCCCAACTGTCTGGCAAGGATCCAAGTAACAAGAGCGCTTGTAGCTCGTCCTCGATCGTCATTTTCATAGTAGCCAACTGGTTGATGATATTCTGGAAATTGTTCAAGTGTTCTGCTACACTTAAACCATCCTTGTACTTCACATTGATGAGCTCTTTGATCAAGAAGGCTTTCTTAGCTGGAGTTTTCTTCTCGAACAAGGACTCAAGCTTTGTCCAAAACTCGCGAGCATTGGTTTCATTAGACACATGGTGAAAAACACTATCGTCCACCCATTGTCTAATTGTGCCAATAGCCTTGCGATTCATCTTCTTCCACTCGGCATCGGACATGCTCTCTGGCTTAGCGGCATCTCCTTCAATTGGCTCATGCAGATCCTTGCAATAGAGAATGTCCTCCATCCTTGGCTTCCATGTTACCCAATTGGAGTTGGTGAGTTTGATCATAGTGCCACTTCCTTCCATCTCGCAGTACGAGCCAACCTTGCTCTGATACCACTTGTTAGGAATGTCGGTACTACAAGATAGAGAATGCACAAGGTAAAGTAGAAAATGGACGCCAAGAATTTATGTGGTTCGGCAATTTATGCCTACGTCCACCAAACAATGATCAATCTTCACTATATGAAAAAGATGAATACAACAAGAGTAGTCTTACCAAGCCAAAGACAAGGCTTGATGGATACAAGAAAGTATAACACACACTTTCTATCACTCTAAACTTCACTCACACAATGTGTAGTGGAACACTCTCACTCTCACTCTTGGAGTGGAACTCTAGCTTTGGACTTGATCCTTTGCTACTCACTCTTGGTTCTCAATTGGTTACATCACACCCATATTTATAGGTGAGGGCTTGGCATTCTACTAGTTTCTAGTTCCTTCTTCAAACCTCTAGTATAGAAAAATCTAGACTAGCCACATACTTGTAGCTTCTAGATCTTTCCATTTGCAACCAAGGAAGCTAGTACTCTCTAGCTTTTTCCATCAACTTAATAACATGCTAGAATTGTCTAGCAAGCTCCAGCCTCATCTCTTGCTTACTAGAATAATCTAGAACATTGATCATGGGCTGGACCATATACCAACACATTCTAATGTACTACGACATGTTCAACATGGTGGAAGGACTAGAGCAGCCTCCACCACAATTTCTGATGGATCGAAGGGGCAAAATCTCCACGGTTGAAAACCCAGCCTATACGAGTTGGATCAAGAAGGACCGAACATGTATGACCCTCATCAGTGCAGATCTAGTAGACTCCACACTACTCTGTTACACAGGAGGATGCGCAAGTGCTAGAGATGTATGGCTAAACTTGGAGAAGCGACTCGCTCCGGTAGCGAAAGCTCACGTCCTACATCTCAAGGCTCGTATTCAAACCCTAACGAAAGGAAGGATGTCGATGGAGGAATACCTAGAGGAGGCAGAAGACATAGCTGACGACCTCGCCGCCGCGGGATCTCCACTAGATGACTGTGATTTTGTTGATCACGTCCTTGACGGACTTCCATCTAATTATGATGACCTTGCTACCATTATCTGGGCTCGAGGTGATGGTGTGACTCGAGAAGAATTGCACGCTTTACTACAACTTCAAGGCTCCCGCCGCTGGGATTGGGTAGATATTTTTTATTTTCTAGCACTCATCGTTCTCGTAGTTGTTTTATGTTCATTAGTCGCTCTTGTCGATCCTAGTTAAAGGAGTGTTCCTGTTAGGCTAAACCCATGATGTCGTTAGTTAGGATTTTTCTGTTTCATTAGGGTTTTTTTTTTCTAGATGTTAGTATTTTTGTTGTCGTTATCATCGTTATCGTCGTCTTTAATTAGGGTACGGACCCTAAACCCTTTTAATTCCTGTTAAACTATTTTCTCGTATTAATATTTCATGTGGTTTGAAGTTAATTTTATGAATTATTTTATCAAGTCATAAAAAATTTCATCTCAACTTCGACTAATTGTGTAGGGGAATAAAATCTATATTGTGATAAGAAGTAATGATTTTTCTTCGCCACGTCTTAAAAAAAGTGATTCCAAATAGTGATTATCGTCAGTAAAACCTTCAAATGATTGTTCTAATCTTTTGAACTACATCTACATGATCAATACAATGGAGCGATTTCAATTATAAAATTTGTGTAATAAAATAATGTCACGTACAGGAAGAATAACTTCGTACGAGTTAGGCATTGTCCTTCCAATTCCCAAGTAAAAATGTTACTTGTGTCATGGCTCAATGGATGGGCTTCGGCCAACAGGCCTACTCCAAAAATATTAGCATTGGCCCAACATAATTCAATACATAACCTAAAAGACCCAGTCCAATATATGGCAAAGCGCTTCGTACCAAGCAAATATTTAGACCATTTTACCCTCGCTGTCCCCATGGGACTATGGGAGTTCCATCTTATCTTTCCATAAACCCTTCAAAATCCCCCATTGGAAGCTCCTCCCCTCGACTTCTCAAAAAACCCACGCGAAAACCCCTAAAAAGCTTCGATCTTTCTCTGTATTTCCCACAAATCTTTCCAACCCACCAATGGAAAAGCCAACCTTCAACAAATCCGTCCCTCAAAACCCCAAAATCCCCACAACATCCACAGCCCCAACCCCACAAAAACCCCAAAAGACAAAGCTGCCAACCGCACAAGAGCTCATATCCCACTACGAGTCCCAGGGCCTGGACTCCCAGGAGGCCTCTCTGAAGGTCATAGGTGACCTTCAGACCGCCCTCTATAGGGTCATATCTTCCGGCAGGGGCAGAAAGGACAGGATTTTGGCCGAGACTTCAAGGAAAATTGACAGCACCAACAATAGCCTTGCAATTCTGAACATGAAGGTTGACTCCAAGCCTGGATTTGGTGAAGCTTTTGGAATTGGGGTTGCTTCTGGGGTCACTTTGAAGGGCATTGAGACTGTTCTTCCTCATGTGATTAGGGGTTTTGGGGAGATTTGGAACACTGTTAGGAGTGCCACCAAGGATAATGCTTGATGTTCATTTTTTTTATTTTTCTGCCCTTTTGGGTTGGATTTAGTTCAAGGGTTTTTTGGGTTGTTGATCAAATTTGTAGTGGTAAAAGTTAGAAGGGAAATGCATTTTATTGGTGTAATATTAAATATAATTCCTATTGAGAAAGTTAATTTGCCTTTTACATTAGCCAAGGGTTATGAACAAAGGGTTGGAAATCGATTTCAACATATAATTGGAGTTTGGTATTTTATTTAACTTGTTTTTCTTAATCGTCATATAATCTTGACGGTATTATTCGTCATTTGTGAGAGATTTTAAGTTCCTCTCCCATAAATATTGAAAAGTGAGTTGGATGCCAAATTATACTTGACTCGTGGACTCATTGTATCGTTCACTTAGCCTATTCGCCTTGATATCAATAAAGTTGTATCAAAACGATACCGATAGAAAAAAACTTGTTTTTCTTAACCATGCTTACCTCACAAGTTTGTACCGAGCGCAATGACGTTCTAGGATTCATATAGCCGACCCCACTTAGTGAGAAAAAGCTTTGTTGTTGTTGTTGTTGCTGCTGCTTAGCTCACAAGTAAAAATCCAACTCAAATAATCTGTAAGATTCGTTAAAAAGTGCAATTTAAACAGTAAATTTTGGTAACGAAATATATAGTTCTGATTAACAAAAGCTCACAATCATACAGTTATGGGTAACTTTTGTGATAAAGACTTCGTCGATGATTGAAAAATGTGGAAAATCAGAATCAATAACAAAATTATACAAACTCATCCTCGAAACTCCTATCATCCTACTTCTTTCACAGCTCATTTGATCACGAGTTGAGTAAAATTGATTGTGAAAATTCTTCAGGTCTCTGCAACCGTGAGTGAAGTGATTCAAAGTGATAGAGGTCGGGGAGGTGGTTTTCGAGAGAAAATGACCAGTCCGTTGGAGGGAAGCATATCTGAATTTCAATGGTCAAGCGAACTAGCAAGAAGCACCCGTGACTAGATATTTCGTCCAAGACCTATATGACACACCCTACTTGAGGAATAACAATGTGGTCATTATCTTGAGTATCGGTCTACAAATGCTTTGGCTTTATCCGGTGCAAAGAACCGTGCCTGCACATGAAACACCATAGTTCATAGCTAAATTTGATGCAACTCCATGGTAGATAGATTAGCTGCATCCCTTGCCACTTAAACAAACATGCCTGAACGCTAGGCCAATCAGACATCTGAATTTGACATACAGTTGACACAAACACAAAAAGGATGTCATCCTCTAAATTATACTCCATGGGATTCGAAAATTGGAACCGCAGACGGCTTTTCAGTAGCGTTATAAATTGAATACTCTTTACATGTAATGTGTGTACATGTGCAGGTAAGCATGTGTCTACAGAAATATACTTCGTCTGTCAATAGACATACCTATATTTACCAGTATAAACATCATCTTTACATGAAATGTGTGTGCACTTGCATGCGTGTGTATCTACCGAAAAATAGTTCATCTGCAAACAGAGATGCATATATTTACCTGTATAAACATCCTCTCCGCTTCTCCAGCTTTACCATTTTCTCTCAAAATAATTCCCTGCAGAACCATTAGAGAACCAACTTTAATGCAAGCTCTTCTTCGTCAGAAATACCTAGGATCATCTAGCACATGCAGACTGGCCAAAATACCGATGCAAAAAAGAGTTATGCAGAATACCATAAAAATAGTTCAAGGACCATCGTTGCTATTTATATTCAGTAGGGGTGCTTTTTTTGTTAGCACTAAAAATTTCAATAAACTGGAGCGCTTCCAAGATATTCACTTGAAGCACTTCTTAAGGAAGCATGTGTTTCTCCAAAACACAGTAAAGTGCTTCTATAACCCTAGGAAACACTTAAAGAACAATTCTTCATAATAAGGAAGTGCTACCGAGCGAATCTGAAGAACCTTAAAGGACAAGGCCAAACATTATCAACAGTCATGTAACAGACAATAGGTTTCTAGGTTAGAGCTAAATGACATTTATGTTGCCAACCCTGAGTTGTTTGTAGTTTTTTCTCCTTTCTAAGACATCCAACCAACCCCGTGTCATTAGGAGGAATCTTATTTTTTTTTTTTTGGTAATTAGGAACTTGATTAAGGCTTTTTTGAGTTTAACTGTATGTGAATACATATGCAGAGCACTCTACAAAGGTCAAACGGAAAGCCTTTGACAATCTTCTTTATAAAAAGGACAGCCAAAAAGAAGAAAACCTTGGCCAAGTAACCGCGGAAGTCATTTGGATGACTAGAGATGAGCCGGTCATAGACAGAAACAGCATCACTGATATGGCCCCAATCTGAATAGGCTTTTCCAAGAAGTAATTCGACCTGATTATTCGTGGCATAACAAAATGAAGGGAGGAACAACCGCAAAGGATCAAATATTGGATAACAATAAGCATTTGAATGAACAATAATAAAGAACTGAACAGAAAATTTAAAACATGGGGGAGCAAATTAAAAAAAAATGGTCAAAACATATTCTTCTCATTAACACACAAAAGTGCAATAGTTGTTCATGAGCCATTTTCATGATGCCAAATTACGTGATACAATAGAATCTGTGACTCACTTGAATAGGGTCCACCTGCGAATTTGTTTCAGTCGCACTACTTCCAGCCTTTGTGTCTGGCTTGTCCACATTCATACGTTCATGAGAGGCAAGAAGAAATTGAACAGCCTGCAATAAGTATAATTTTACTATTTGTAAGAAACTCAGTAGAGTGTGTAGAATAAAAAGGGGACAATTGTGAAGCAAAATCTCAGAACATTACTCAAACATGCAATCAGACCAATAAATAATAATTGGTGCAAGTGAGCCAACCAGATTCCGTTGGCTAGGCAAGGTCAAGCCATATGGAAATGAAATGTCATAGTCTAGAACAGGTAATATTATTTTAGATGACAAATTTGATACCATAAAAAGATTTTTAAGAACCGTGGTAAATGGTTTGGATCCTGCCTCATGACGTCAATAAGAATGCTATCTCAGGAATATTCTTAAATCAAGGTTAATGCATTTTATTTCAATTCACAAAGAATAACGGGAAACCTCATCTGGTTTTTTAGCAGCAAGTAATGCATTCGTAAGGCCACGCAGAACTTCAAATTTGAGATCTTTAGACATCTGTCACACAGCAACACAACATTCATATTCAGAATTTTAATGAACTTACGTTAGTAGGGATTAATGATAATTATCAGCAAACTAATAATATCAACACATCTTGAGTGATAGAAATTTATTCGAATCAGTTAAGCTCAGTGTTCACAGTTTCAGAGACTGACCGATGAAGAAACCTTAAATGCAGCAGCACTTTCTTCAAAATCCTTGAGTTCATATTTAACTTCTCCAAGCAAACGAAAAACTTCAGGATCACTTGGTTTCTCCTGCATAACCAATCATTTGGCGTGAGATTCTCCTAATAGAACATTTTAAACAGCATGTGCTGCCACAAACAATATGCGATAAATCCAAAAGCAAAAACATGACCAAACCTTAATCAAGTCTTGAAGCAGAGTTGAAGCCTGTGTATATTCTCCTAATTCTGCTAAGGTTACTGCAGCTCCCTGCAAAAGATGGCTGCCACTTGAGATTCGATGGTAGAACAGAACCATCGGCAATCAAATTAAGACCTGATTTTGCCTTAGTCTTCACAATTGTAGTAATATTCTTTCTCCAAAAAAAATGTTTATCTTCTTTCTTCTTGAATCTTGATTGTGCGCGGTTATTTTCTTTTTTCAAACGCAGCAACATGAAGACAGGCTTATCAAGCCATTTATTATTTTCAATTTTTTCCAACTTCACTTTTAATCCAGAACAGATGACTAGGATTAGGTTGGGTTCTACTGGATCGTATCCTTAACCAGATTCCAGAACAATATATATATATATATATATATATATAATGTAAAATCTTTGCCAACAAGGGTTATTTGAGTTGGTAAGGATCGCTCTCTTCACTAGACCAAGGCCTAGGTTCAAGTCCCGCTACCAGCAATCCCTCTTGGTGGGCAATCTATAAAAGCCAAAAAAGGGCTCAGACCCCCTCTGTAAGTCCTCAAAGAGGCTTGTGGTATGCCCTGGCCTAGGTTGGGGTAGCCTCCCCTCCCCCTAAACTTTTTTGTACCGGAATCTTTTATCAATACTTCTCATTAAATAATAGGATATCATTGTCTTTGGACTTTGGTTCTGGATGAAAGCTAACAAGTCAAACAGATTCATGTTTAAACTTTATTGTCAAACAGTTCAACCAGAATTGGCATAAGCAATTGTTATCATACATTGGTAACCGATTATTTTTCTTGACCAGGAATAGTTTTGATGTTAATGATTGAGCATATTAAGTATAATAAGCAACAAAACCACGAGTTTCAAGCAGTTGTTGACTAAATAGAGAATCGAAGTCCAACTTCAATAAGTAAAATTATAGTTCAAGCAGTAGCAGGATTTAGTAACAAAGGAAGCACAATAGTATCTTGTGTTTCACACTACAGCTCACCTCAAGAGCAGTTGGATCTTTTGGGGAGTTACTAAGCGTTGCTTCATATTCTTTCAGCCTAGTCTGATACAAACCGAAGGTAAAAGTGTTAATGATCTTTTCATGATTCTTTCATAATGCACAATAGGATTTAATTTATTAGAATTGGGCGAGTGGAAATTATAGAATAAGTGTTGATGGAGAAGTGCACAAGAGATACAATCACACCAGTGGGTTGGGTCACGACATTACACAAGTTTTGAGATGCAAAAACTTACCTGAAGTGACGCTTTCTCTTCTTCGGACAGTTTATTGGCAGTTGCTGCAGTATCCTCAGTAGGACTCAAACTGAAAACTTGAAGACCATATCAAAATAAAATCATTCCTCTGAATATATTCAACAAACAACTACTAGAATAAGAAAATATTAAGAATATGAGATACCATAAATCCCTAATGTTTCACATTTTTTTTGCCAAAATCATGTGCCAAAACTAAGAAAAGTATGATAAATCAAGCGGTTATGGGAAGACTGTAGAAGGATGGCAAAATAAAGGTTATTCTGTACGTAAAAGACCTTTAATCTACTATGCCATACCTTCCAGAAGGAAGAAAGTCTCCAAGAGCAAAAACCAAACCAAAGACCACTACAGCTACACCTACTCCAATCTATACCATGACAAACTTTGAATTAGTGATATGTACAGTATACCATGGTATTTATTTACAAGTCAGAAAGCAGAATGCAGAAAATATTACCTGTGCACCGAGTCCAATTTTTTTCTTATCCGTTTTCTCCAACTCAACAGGTGCATCATAGTCAATTGGCCCAAACTCCTTTTTCTCCACTACCTTCTTCTGCTCAATTGCTGAACTGAATTTCGTACACAACTGATGATACTTAATCGAAACAATTCTAAGCTAAACATTACAAATATGGAACCATCCAATAAGCTCTTATGATATGCTAATGCAGCAATACACACATAAACTTTTACCTTCTGACTGCTGCTAGACGTTCCTCAAACTCAAGCTCAGCAGGGTTTCTCTTAACCTTTCCATCGAACCGAGAACTTAACCCGGGTGCCTCTACAAACGGAAATGTCAGCTTGAACCATATGCAATAAAAAGCATCGGGGAGAACCCACTAATCAAACAGAAATGTGGGACTAGAAATTACAAAATAATTAAACAAGCCTCCAAATTGGTCATTAATTTTGTAAAATTTCTAGAAAAATTCAATTGGGTAGTAGCCAAAAATCAATACGCATATATATATATATATATATGTGTGTGTGTGTGTGTGTGTGTATGTATGTATAAGTAAATGGTTGATTCACTTACGAGTAGGAACGCCACCAGACCGTTTGGTAGTTGATTCCTGCTTGGCACATATGAAGTTTTAGCACAGATTTCTAAATCGAATCAAGTAAAGATTTCTAATTTAATTAAAATAAAACGAAAAGGATCAATCTTGGTGAACAATTGCAGACAACATGGGACCTGGCTGAGGTTGTTCTTGTTCCTGTTCTTGTTCTTGCTGTTGGTTTTGCTTCCGAAACCAGTTCTGGGCTTGGAATCAGTGCACTGAATTCGAAGCGTAACGAAGCGGCATGTCGTCATCGTTGTCGCTGGTGTTGCTGCGAACGACATGACTGGCGTTGCTGCTTTTTCCCTCGGAATTTCTCAGATTAACGGTTTTATTGTTCTTTTCTTGTGGTGCGACGAAGGAACACTCTTCTGAGTCGAAAATGTTGAACGAGCTAAGCCTTCAAAGTGGGCCCCCCAAGATAAGATTCTTGACATGTTAGCTAGATAAATGAAAGTGAAACATGCTTTTATTAGTTTTTTTTATTTTTTTTATCAAACGATAAATTTTATTTGATTAAATGTTAAATTAGTCGCTGAAAGAATTCAAACTCACGTTATTATGTAAGGCCTCAACAATTTTTTACCGCTGTGATAAAAGGCCACTTGCAACATACTTTTATTGTTTGGATAATGTTTTGTGTTTCTCATCATAAAAAGCCATTCAATTACAAAAAATTAGTCATCCATGTATGTTAAACAAATGGACTGTCAAGATGCTATTTGTTGCCTAAATCGTCGATTGGTTTGACATATATGGATGGCTAAAAGTTGTACGTATTGAATGAATATTTTGCTTATGTGATTTTTAAATAATGATAAAGAAAATAATAGGTCCCAATTATAATGTTTATACAATAAAGATATGTTTTTTTTTTGGTCAATAAACAATAAAGATATGTTAATCATAAGTTAAAAAACAAATAAGTTTTCCACGAGGGAACACAATCATTATCCTTCTTTTTTTTTAGAGAATTGTTATTAGTTAGCACTCCAAAAATCTCATTCTACATTCCAAACTTTTTATATTAGAAAAAAAAATACACTTGTCAGAAGTGTAGAATGAGATTTTTGAAGTGCCAATATCACCTTCCTTTTTTTATTTTGAAAACTTTTCTTTTTCGTTCTTTCTCGATGAAATTAAAAGCTCATTTCTACGAAGTAACTGCTTACAAACAAGTGGTACATTGCCGTGGTGTATTCTTCTTCAGCAAACAATTCGGCTCCTAGACTGCATGCACACTTCCCACTTGAGAATTATTTTTTGAAGCATTTTTACCAAGTGATCGTTAGTAGTTAGTAGGGTTTTTGCCATGCCAATATATTTCAATATGTAGAAGTTGACGTAGTGTTACAGTGGATGCCCTTCTCCTTTTGTTATTGATTCTTAATAATTTAAATTCATTTAAAATATATAATTTGAGCTACAGAGAGGTTACACCCATTTTAGGTGCACAAAATTTGATCTCATATTTCCTACCCTCATATCCAACATTCCACCCCCAAAGGAAACATCATATAATTAACATTAATATTGAAGAATGCCAATTAATATAAGTGAATTCAAAGTACAACATAAGACAATAATTCTCGTCCATATACATGGACAACAATGAAATTAGAATCTCAAAGCTATAAATTAGATAGCCCAAACTATTAAGAAATAAAAGAAAGATTGAATGATATCAAGGTTCTGAAAGACGTTAGGCGCTAGTCGGATGGTAGGCTAAGGCCTATCGCCTAAGAGGCTAGGCGGACACCTAGGTGGACTAGTTGGATTTAAATAAATCTATCATATTTCATGTAAATAAGTGCTTGTTTATACTTAATATATATATATATATATATATATATATATATATAATTTTATCATAAACTACAAAATAGAATGACATATACATTATGAAGTATTGGAACATAATGAAAACATAGGGAACAAGCATATGATGTGTGTTTTTTTAACTATTCAACAAATCTCTTACAATTTATTGAAAAAAAAATTAGATGCAAAAAGAAAGTTATATATTTTCTGTCTAAGTGATTCGCAACCTAGGCGGGTCTAGACGGGTGCCTAGGTGGTCTAGGTGGCGTCTCAACAAGTCTATGTGCAATTTCTTAATTTTTAAACGATTAGGCATTAATCGGGGCGATGCCTAAGCTGAGATTTTTAGAACAGTGGATATATTCACAATTTTCCACCCACCACGACTAAAGAAAATATATATCCATGTAACAATCAGGCCCTAGCTTTTTGCAGCAAAGGTCTTAAGTATCCCTGATGATGATCGCAACTATCGCTATCTTCCTTGCTGCACATCGTATAGGAATAATCAAAATTACGAACCTCAGAAACCATCTTCAAGAACTCCGGCACCTCTAGGCTCCCATACCTTTTCTCATCTTTTCGAAGCAAGTTCAAGACCTCTTTGAAGAACTCAACATCACACGGCAACACTATGCCTCCGTTGGCCTTGAACCCGAATTCCTCCCCAGATTTGCGAAGAAGAGCCGCGAAGATCGGAAAGTTGAGGTAGTGGGTGGGGATCAGGAACCGGGTGCGATTCCATCCAATGTAAACAGGAAGGAAACCTGAGGGAGCAGGAGAAGATTTTCCATTGAGACTTATGGCCTTCCAAAGCTTCATTACTTGTTTGAGTTGGATTGCCGGCATGATTGTTTTGACCCTTTTGCTTGTAGTTGCCATTAGGAAATGATAGATGGAGATCGATGATGAAAATGGTGGGATTGTAATATTATTAACATATGTCATGATATATATGTTGTGAACGTCAGGAATGTGAGGAGGTGTATTTATAAGGCTTCCAAATGCGGCTTGATGGAATCTTCACGCACATATTATATATACATTAAAGTTCTGAATCGAGTACGTATAGGGTGATCACCAGCTTATTATAGCATTTACAAACACAATGATTGAGTACCAAAATATATAAGTCGTATCCTATTAAATTTTGGAATCAAATGGGCTAACCGTGCATTAATTGTACATGCATGCAGATCGGATTTATTTCCATGGATTCTACCACTAAATTTTAGGACTTATCTATATGGATTTATTTCCATGAAAGTTGTATTATTCTACGACCAAAATGCGATTGAACACGCAAAATATCCGACCATGTAACTTAATCTTCATGAGCTAGGAAACTTTATTGTATGATATGGTTAAAAAGCAAAGTTATTGAATCGACTTACGATAATATGATAAAAAAAATGTTATTTTATTACATTTTCATGCTACATTTGTATCACATTTCTAATAGAGATAGATCTACATCCATATTAGTAATCCATCCATATATGTTAATATGTAAGTTTTTTTATTTTTCTAAAAAATGATATTTTAAAATATTCTAATTTACGGAAAGAGATATTCAAACTGAATCGCACTAAAATGACTCTTGAACCACACTACACAATAATTTCCCATGTGCTTGTGCATCTTCGACTAGTTGTCGTACCCATCGTTGTATCCGAAGTCTAGTTAACAACATTAGAAGTACAGCAAGGATATATATCTGGAAACCATTAGAGTTAAGCTAGCATTTCATATTGTCGTAACTCACAAAGTCAAAACCTCAATTTCTAATTAGCTAGGTAAGGCTTAATCCCTATCTTCCAATTGCCCACGTATTGTTATGATCGATCTCTCCCATATTTTACACCCTGGCTAATGCAGATGCGTGCACTAAGTTGGTGCTTTATATTTAGCCTCTTACAACTGTTGAACTCTAGACATAAACCCACTTTCATTAAAACATCTAAATAAAACCCAAAGTTTGAATTTGATGCCATGTAAGATAAAAGATGTCCATACATTTAAACTTATTTACAACATCATGCCACCAACATTAATATGGCTATTACAATTTTTTTTTGTAGACTTTTAATTTAGGGGTTTTTGAACATTAGTCCTTGCAAAAAATTAAAATTAAAAAAAAACCTGATTCTAGATTAAATATTCAATTTAATCCCTTGAGTGTACTTTTATCAAAATTTACATTCAATTTTTCTTATTTAATGTGTATTTTTATTTAATCTCTCCATATTAAATTTTAATTTTATTGATATGCACATATTTAATTTTTTTAATTAGAAATGAACGTAAATGAGAAAATATTAAAAAAAAATATAGATACATAAGTGTACAGAAATGATTGTGCCAAATATATATAAAATTGACTTTTTTGTACCAAAATATTTGTACCTACATGATTGTACCGAAATATATTATAATGAACCTAAATATATGTACTGAAATGTATTATATTGAATTAATGTACCTAAATGTCAATACCGAAATGTATGTACCAAAATGTACGAACCTAAATGTCAATACCGAAAATGTATGTACCTAAATATCAATACCAAAATGTATGTAGCTAAATGTATTTACCGAAATAATAATTGAATTAATGTACCTAAAAGTCAATACTCAAATGTGTGTATCAAAGTGTACGTAACGAAATGCATTATATTGATCGAAATGCATTATATTGAATCAATGTAACTACATGTTTGTACCGATAGATATTCCAAAATATTCAAATGTATTAATGTACCTAAATGAAGAACATACAAAATTGTTATCGGAATATATATTATAAAAAATTTAGTTGCCTAAATGTAGACATTAAAATATATTATGATGAATGAAATAAAAATTAAATTTAAATGTAATTAATACATTAAAATAAAAATAAAAAGATAAAATAAAACATCAAAATACAACTAATAAATAATATGATTAAATGTGCTAGGGATTAAAATGGGATTTTAATCTTACATATGGTTATAATCTAAAACTCATCTTTTTTAGGGATTAAAATGAAGTTTTCTATTTAATATTAATTTATTGTCTTTTGTTTGTCAACAACTTTCAATTAGTTTAAGTTTTTTTTGCTTTTAATTTAAAAAAAAGGAAAAAAAAAAGAAGAAGAAGTTCTTTTCTTCTTTTATGTGAAATTGCCTAATCCAAATTTAATAAGTTCAATATACATTCTATTGAAAAAGTAGATACATTGTCACATCCCGGCCAAGGCCTCCATCATATCTGGAGCTCGACTCCACCGTAGCACGATATTGTCCGTTTTGGGCTCCGACCACGCCCTCATGGTTTTGTTTCTAGGAACTCACACAAGAACTCCCCAATGGGTCACCCATCATGGGATTGCTCTCACACGAACTTGCTTAACTTCGGAGTTCTGACAGAACCTGAAGCCAGTGGGCTCCCAAAAGGCCTTGTGTTAGGTAGAGATAGGAATATACATATAAGGCTTACAGGATCCACTCCCTTGGTGATGTGGGATGTTCCAATCCACCATTCTTAGGGGCCCGACGTCCTCGTCGGCACACATCCGGCCAAGGATTAGCTCTAATACCAAATTGTCACATCCCGGCCCGGGCCCCACCACATCCCTGACTCGACTCCACCGTAACACTATATTGTTCGCTTTGGGCCCCGACCACGCCCTCACGGTTTTGTTTCTGGGAACTTACACAAGAACTTTCCAGTGGGTCACCCATCATGGGATTGCCGCGAACTGGCCTAACTTCGGAGTTCTGACGGAACCCGAAGCCAGTGAGCTCCCAAAAGGCCTCGTGCTTGGTGGAGATGTGAATATATATATATATATATATATAAGGCTTACATGATCTACTCCCTTGGGCGATGTGGGATGTTACAATCCACCTCCCTTAGGGGCCCGACGTCCTCGTCGGCACACATCTGGCCAGGGATTGGCTTTGATACCAAATTGTCGCATCTTGGCCCGGGCCCCCATCACGTCCCGGGCTCGACTCCACCATAACACGATATTGTCCACTTTGGGCCCCAACCACGCCCTCACGGTTTTGTTTCTGGGAACTTACACACGAGAACTTCCTAGTGGGTCACCCATTATGGGATTGCTTTCGCGCGAACTCGCTTAACTTTGAAGTTCCGACAGAACCCGAAGCCAGTGAGCTCCCAAAAGGCCTCGTGCTAGGTAGAGATGGGAATATACATATAAGGCTTACAGGATCCACTCCCCTAGGCGATGTGGGATGTTACATACATTAACTTGTGAAAATTAAAAAAAAAGGGTAAAAATAAACTAGTAGATACATTGTTTCTTGTAAAAACTAAACAATAGTTACATTATTTTCATAAAAAATAAACAATATGTAAATTTTTTTTTTAAATTAACAATTTACACATTTTTCGTAAAAATTAAATAATAGGTACTTTATTTTTGGAAAAAAAAAATAGTAGAAACATTGTTTCTTTTAAAAATTAAACAATGAATTTATAAGGTAAATTAGTTTGCATGTATTTTGCATATATGGGTTTGTTATTATGTAGGTAAATTATTTTTCATGTATTTTACATATACTGGGTATATTATTTTTCTTTTTTTTAAGAAATCTAACATTTTAAAATTTTAATAGTAGGTGCACTATTTGAATCAAATGTTTTTTTTTAAAGGTTGTTGATGCACAAAACCGGAGGGTCTTGGAACAACGTAAATCCGACCGTGAATCTGCAAGAAAGTAAAGAACACAAGATGTATCGTGGTTCACCCCAATATTTAGGCTACGTCCACATTGATGTTGATATTGTTTCACTTTGAATGGTGAATATACAAGAAGGCTAGAGGCAGTGTGCTCTCTAGCCTATTTTCTCTCTTCCCATGGCCTAAGCCTTGACCTCTTCTAATGAGGAGAGTGATGAGTCTTTTTATAGAATAAGGGCTTCTCACTTATTACATATTTGCCCCTTCATTTATTACATAATTACATTTGAGTCCCCTGAGTATTTATACGAGGTCTAAATACGGAGGCCCTAAATATGGTACAAACAGTAGTCCCCCAAGTCTTCAGTCAAGAGAGTCTTTTGGCTGAAGACTTGAAATTCAGTCCATGTGTGGGCCGAAGTAACTAGATGTCGTCTAGAACTGATACTCGATATGAGGTGGTGCTCAATGTGAAATGATGCTAAACTAGAAGTAGCACATGTTGCGAGGCTGCTCAGCTTGTGACGTTGAAGGTGAGGGAGTCCCTTTTATAGAATAAGGGCTCGCTCCTCAATACATAAATGATGGGCTAGAGTTGATGCTCGCTACGAGGCGGCTGCTCAGCAGGCGGCGATGCTATCTAATGATGGTGAGGGAGTCCCTTTTATAGAATAAGGGCTCGCTTCTCAATACATAAGTGATGTGTTATGAGTGATGCTCGAGGTGAGACCGTTGCTCAGCTCGCGGCGATGCTCTCTAATGAAGGTAAGGGAGTCCCTTTTATAGAATAAGGGTTCGCTCCTCAATACATAAGTGATGGGCTAAGAGTCTCTCTCTAATGAAGGTGAGGGAGTCCCTTTTATAAAATAAGGGTTCGCTCCTTAATACATGAATGATGGATGCTCTTTAATGAAAGTGAAGGAGTCCCTTTTATAGAATAAGGGTTCGCTCCTCAGTACATAAATAATAGGCTAAGTCACCCAAGTATTTTTCATGAGGCCCAGTTGCGGAAGCCCAATATATGGTACATAGTGTAGTCCCCCAAGTCTTCAGTCAATAGAGTCTGTTGGCTGGAGACTTCAAATTTAATCCATGTATAGGCCGAAGTGGCGGTTGTTCGGAGACGGTC